TGGGATGGAGCAGGTGAAATTTTATCCTATTTTATGTTTTAGAATTATGTTCAGATGGGAAGAAGCTCTGTGGAGAGGTAAAAAACCTCACGAAATGGACTCAGGCAAAGGCCCTTTAACCTCCCTGGACCCCAGGTCATTCACCTGTACTGCAAAGGCATTCCTGTGCTGAATTGGATCCATTTCCTTATTCAGCCAAGAACACGACCGGGGCTGGTTACGTCATTTACAGGGTCCAGTGAAAAATGAAAATGGGGGGCCACTTGTTCGAAAAATGTTAAACTTTCAAGACAGCATTAACAGAACATTCAAATAAGCCTGGGTTCCTCTACGACTACAAAAGTTACATATTGTCAAGCTGGTTGATTGCAACCATAACATCCCTGATTTTTACCAAGTTCTCCCTAAAGTTCTTGCTCCACTTCCAGAGACTCTATTTCCTGTTTGGGTGTTTAACTTCAGAATCCAGGCAGCATTTTGTGCTATCATGGACATTTCTCTGACTTTTCACCTTGGGGCAGACAGACGGATGGATGGTAGATGGATGGATGCATGGATGAATAGATGGATGGTTTCGTCTATTGATTCATTTATTCAACAATTTATGAATTGCCTACCAGGCACCAGCAGCTGGGACATTTGCTGGATCCATGGGACTTGGCAGTGTCTGCTGCCATTCTCACAGTACAGCTCACAAGACTGACCATTTTATTAGCTGAGGAGTCCTTGAAGGCAGATCTGAACTTTTTTTATCTGTCTTTCTAACCCAAGCTTGGTGGCCAGTAGGCCCTTGGTAAATATTGATTGGATAGATTGAATGAATCCATCAACCGATCAGTTGATCACATGAAGTCATCCCATGGCTGTTGTAGCTGTTTGAAGCAAAAACAGTACTAGACTATAATTAAGTGCAAGCCATTATAATTAATTAATAAATATGTAAATGGATATAATTATTAATTATAATCCAACCAGGAAAGTTCAATTACTAGATCGTACCCTTTCTCCCGTGTGGTTCTGCTATCCAAAATTCTTCCAAAATCAAACACTCTTTGGACCTTTATTAATTTTAGCTTCATTTCTTTTACTTCAGTGGGAAATTGGCAGGGGGCCCAGAGCCCCCACGTGCTGCCCTGAAGCTTCGGATCATCCTGACGGCAGGAGCCCACCCCTGGGGACAGTGCAGCTGAGCCCTTTTCTTTATGAGAGAGACCCAGGGCTCCAATAAATAACCACAGAGCTTTGTTCACTGATTCCGCATTATCCAAACAGCAGGTTGCACAGTTGGATGGCCTGTGACCAAATCCTGGTTCTGCTGTTTTTAAGCTGTGCAGCCTTGGGCAACGCATTTGATGTCACTCTGAGTCAATTGTACCCTCTGGAAAATGAGGGGGTTCAATGAGTTAATGTGCGAAAACATTTAGATCAGAGCAGAAGTTGTTAATAAATGTTAGCTTGTAAGCACCTGCATTTCACAGCAGAGGTTCCCAATTTTTGTTGCTAACATGATTTCACATGGGACACCAGTTACACTGCCATTTGCTGAGTATTTATTATGTGGCTGTCTCTAGGTGTTTTCTCATGTAATCCTCAGAACAGTCCTGGGAGTTTGGTGTTATTATGCCCCTACTACTCTGAGAAAATGGAGAGTCAGTGAGTTAAAGTAACTTGCCTGAGGTCGCCCAGCTAATAAATGGTAAAGCCAGGAGTCTAAACCTCTTCTCTTGGACTCTGAAGCCCACACCTTGAACTTCATTGTTTTTTCAATCACCAAGTATTTATTGAGTGCTAACCTGGGAGCATAGAAATATACATTTACTTACCACATTTACCATTCAAGTTTTAATCTTAAGAATGGAGAGGTAACCGTCACAAGCCACCCACCCTCTCTGTCCCATACAGCACAGAGCTGGGCTGACGCGTCTTTGCAGGGGAGTGCTGGTTAACAGACAATGTCTCTGTGCTCGCCATTAGCTTCTCCTCAGACTGTCTCTTCCTTTCTTCAAAATCCTTTTTATTTGGAAAATATACCCCCATTTCTGCATTTACCAGGTTTGGATTTGTATTTTTTCCCCATTGCAAGATGACCTGCTTGTTCATATTTCCATGCATATGTTAGGCAAACACTTATCAAAAGCCAACCAAGTGTCAGGAACCGTAATGGGAAAGTGCATCCTGTGAGTGGGAACGGAGAGTCTTCTGTGTCTGGCCAGAGGTTTCTGTGCCATGCTGGGGAGAGATGAGGGGCGGAAGGCGGATTGAGACTAGATGGTGCAGTGTGTTGGAGTCATCATGGCGTGTGCACTTTGTCCTGTAGACCAGAAGGGGAGGAGGGCATCAGTGGTGATGTGCCTGTGACAAGATGTGGATTTCGGAACGATAAACCGCAGTGGTATGCAGGAGAGGTGGGAGGGCACAGTAACGTGGGAGGGTGGGGTGAGGCTGAAGCCCAGATGGGGCGGGCACAGGCCTGCAGTTGACCCTCCTGGACGGTAGAGGCACCACAGGGCATTCAGTGAGAATGTCAAGCTGGCCACTGGGGACTGGGTGGGACATCAAGGCTGGAGACTGGGGTTGCCAGATTTAGCAAAATAGACTCTCAGTTCAACTTGAATGTCAGAGAGACAACAGATCCATTTTTAGCTAAAAAAAAAAAAAAGAGAGAGAGAGAGAGAAACAAATAAAAAAGAAAGAAAGTTACAGCAATTAGAATAATTTGTTGAACTTTCAAAAGGAGAGAACAGAATTGAGGCTACCAGAGGTGGGAAAGGGGGAGGGGAGCGGGGGTTAGTGAGAAATTGATAAAGGGCCACGAAAAATAATTATATTGTGTAATGATAAATATAGTAATTGTCCCGATTTGAGCATCACGTATTGCACAGTGGTATTGATATTCAATGTTGTACCCCACAGATATGTACAATCGATTATGTCTCAATAAAAAATAAATTTAAAAAAATAACATAAGAATGAAGGTACTCCAAAAAGTTTGTGGAAAAATATAATTAAAAGAAAGATAATACCAATCTTTCCATGAACTTTTTGAAGACTCCTTTTATGTCCCATGCAACATCTGGGACAACAAATCATTTTTTGAGTATAAACATGCCCCCGATATTGCGTGGCACACACTGATACTATCACATAATTAGTTCCATGATGTAGGGTGTCCTGTGTCTTATCTGGTGACCCTACTTGAGAGGTGCCAAGGTTGAGCCCTGTATCCCATCCCACCTTTCTCCACCCTACCAGGTAATCGCATGGCCTGTGCTCAGGACACCAGGTTTTTATTGTCAAACCTGGGGCATTCTTGGGTAAACTGGGATGAGTTGGTCACCCTAGGCTGAACAGATATGGGTTGAATTGAATTTAGAGAGTCTTCTGACCCTTCTGCAACCTCCTGGAGTCTTTCGGTTGGAGCTGGTGCTGTGTGTCCCTGGGTGAATTGAGGGCTGTGCCGGGTCTGGGGTCCGCACCCTGGAGACCACAGTCTGCAGCTCTGCACCTCCACAGCGCCATCTGGCGTCCACTTGACTAAAGAATTCCAACCTTTATCAGAATTTTCTTTTGTTATTTTTTTTCCTTGAAGAACATTTGCTGCTGATTTAGTCCTGTTTTAAAATTCTGTCCAGTTGACAGCTGTCCTGTTTTAATCTCTGTGTGACTCTCCTTCAGTCAATTCCTTTCTCCTCGGTTCAGTATAATCTACCCCCTGCAGGTTGCTTATCAGACTGACATACACCACAGGCCTGGACTTTGTTCCGACATCTCTTTATATTTCATCCCAGTGCTGCTTCTCTGCCAAGCAGATGTGTATTAAAATGTGCATAAGAAAAGAAGTAAGCTGGGCTTACTTAAAAATTCCCTTGATTCCCACAAACTCCATTTGGTATAAAATAATTGTCCAACTTGAAAGAGTTTGTTTTATTTTTTTTCTTGTCATGTATTATATAAGGTGTTAAAAACGACTTCAATTTCCACTCAGTCTTTGGGTCTCGTGTGTATTTTATTCTTTGGTTCTTTTTTTTGTTCTTCTTGTGTGTTTTAAACACAGTTTATTTTCAATATGATAAAGGCATCTAAGAAATAAGCCTTCACTCATTTAAGCTAAAGATATGGTTACTGGGCTTACACGCACAAACAGAAAGGGAGATTGAATATTGAGAGAGAGAGAGAGAGAGAGAGAAGATATTCTGAGCCCTTTTTTCTGGACTGCCTATTTTAGATCTGACTATTATAGATAGACATAATTTTGTTACCTTTTGTGACACAGACATGAACCACAGGAACAATTTATCTGGAAGTTTTAAAAAATAGGACCATCACAGCAAGAACGTGGCGGGAAGGGGGTCCCATATATCAGGCAGTTTAGTCCAGGAAGGAGTGAAAGAATTGGTCAGACCATGGTCAAATTCAAAGCCATGAAAACACAGGGTCAGCACGAGTAGGACGAGAGTAGGGGGTACAGAAAAGCCACCTGCAATCCACAATCAAGTAGGGCTTGCTTCGGATCATGTTTACAACTTTGGCTGAGTGTGCACAGCCAGGAGGAACCAGAGGTCTGCAGACAAACCCTTCCCATGTCTGAGCCAGTAGTGGAAGTGCTGACCTGGTGGCAGAGCCTGACCATATCTCAGCCATTCCCCAAATAAGAAACATGACCTGCTACTTCCAGATTATATCATTTCAGCCCTGAAGCAAATTAGGCGTCTAAGGCCTATATAGCAGATGTAACTTACAGGGATTGTGTTGGGTGACACCTGTCCTCATCGACAGTTGAGGAAATCAGCCTTTACTTGCAACAAATAATTACCACAAATTTCTAAATGCTTCAGTGTCACTGAATTGATGTCCCCGAGTCATCTGAAATTTTTAACTAGCTCTTTAGCTTTATATGTATAGAATTGCCGTTATTTATTATACTTGGACTTGTGCACGGTGAAGTATATGTCTGGAGTGGGGTGTGAGTTCATTCATTAGATTTAAAGCCAGGAAACAAAGCCTTTGCTTAACTTTTATTCATAATGGCACAAGATAGAACTTTAAGAAACACCACTGAAAATCTCATCGCCAACATGAAAATTAAGAGTAACATGTTTTATAAAAAAATTCTTTTTCTATAATACACTTTCCCTTCTGAAGTGAAAAACTCATAAAATACTGAAGCAAATTGCCACCTGCTGGTCAAAAATGGTTTTGCAGTTGAAAAACTTCAAAGTTACTACTGCTGAAGGTGGGGACATTTTACAATACACATAAAATTACCGAAGAAAACTTTTCCTCAGCCTTTGACACAATGTAAGTACAAAGGTGTAGTTTCCCCCCCCCCCCAAATATTTCATTTACAAAGAATTGCATGCAATTTGGTTAATACTGATTCCAGGGCAAAGGAAAAACCATGTTCTTCTATAATTTGAATACTCTATTTAGATTCTTAAACACTTTATAGTTGGATTCCAGTTTGTAGTTCTGAAAAATACATAAAATTATACATTATAAATATATATTATATATGGTCTATATAAAATTGAATTTGACCTAAAATGGGATGGACCACTTAATTACTCTTTGTTAGGCACGGCCTTTTTCTTGTTTAACTGAATCCTTTCTAACCAGGTTCTAAAAATATATCTCATAACATATCAAATTTAATATTTTCCTTAAAACTTACTCAATATGAAAAAGCATTCAGTGACTATAGTTTTTGTATCTCCCTACTATATAAAAATATGGCTTCTCATATTCTCTCTTGTTTTGTTAGTGTCTTTCTTAGGCATTGAAAGGAAGGGCTGTCCTCCGTTAAAAAGCTATGGCAAAAGCACAGAAACCCGCTTGTGCATATTCTAGATCATTCTATAGAATCTCATTGCTTAGTCTAACTCACGGCTTAATATAAGTGCAGTGATTTTTTTTTTTTAAGTTCCTTCTGTTTTCGCTCTGTGAATACATCCTATGCGATTATCATACATGATCTGTTACAGAATATACAATATCAAAATTGAAGACACATAAATACAATGAAGCTATCCCCAAACAAGCGTTTGCTCTTATACAGGGCCAGTGTGGGTAGTTTTTACATTGGACGTGGTCATGGTTTTTGTGTGTGTTTCTGTTTTTGCTAAGGCTGGCTACGCAACAGGACCTTACTCTAAGTGGCCAGGGCCGAGTGCTCTACGTCTGTAAGTGAACGGGGTTTGTCTCGTGTTGCTTTTGAAGTGTAAAAGGGGGAAAAGTGAGAAAGTGCCCGATTGTCCAACACCAACGTGTTCCCCTCTGGGACGAGGAGGCCGCGCTCGGGGCTCACACCAGCGTCTCCGGGAGGGCGTCGGGGTTGTCGGCAGACAGGAGCTCCCAGATCTGCCACCGCTCCCTCTGCCAGTCCAGCCAGCTGGCGCCCCCCAGGCCGTGACTGTCGCGCTCGCTGGCGGCCAGGGAGTAGGTGCTGCTCAGTCTTTTGGCCGAGGCCTCCCGATCTCGCCCGCCCGTCTGGCTTCCCTCTTCCGAAGCTGTCCCCGTGCCTTCTTTGGGCCGCTGGAGCCTCCACAAGGGTGGCTCCGGCA